CATTTTCCATTTCTCTATTTTATTTGCTTTTGTTAAATCTTCTCTGCCACCTCCAAATACAATGTAAAATATATTTCAAACAAAGCAAATGTTTAGAGCACAAAAGTGCTCCTCCAATTGGGAATATATTTCCAACTAATGGTTGCCATTTCTGATATTTCAGCAGAAATTAGAAAATGCAACAAAAACCTTTAAAAGTATTTGAATGAGCAGTTTAACATCCAACTAGAAAATTATTTTTCATTGTTGCTATAGTTATTTTTTTGTAATACTTTTAGTTCAATACAGGCAAAACTTAAAAGATAAAACAGCAAACTACATTTTCTCCTAGTTGGAATAATTTGCTGTCCCTTGGGTTCTGGCTACATCTAAGTGTTTTATGATATTTCATCACTAATCAGCCTAAAGAACCCCGAGAATTGCAGGCTGCTGCAGTTAAGAGTTTCCTACATCTTGGCTGTTACTTGAAAACTATATTTTTTAAAGATACAATTTCCATGAGGAAAATTATGCTCCTTGTATTAATATTTTTTACATGGACTATCTGCAGCTCTGTTTGGAAACACTGGAGACTAGCCCTGCAGCTTCCCCTAAGTGGTCCTAGGTTATTTGAAGAGATTAGTTTGTATTTTTTTCACACCATGCAGGCAACAGGGGTCTCCTGAAAAGAATTCCTGAACTTGTCATTAGTCATTCTCAATTTTTGTGTTTTATCTCATGATCTAAAATATTTAAAAATGGCTTTTACTAATTCTTTTCTTTTTTGATTTTTGTTAATTCTTAATTATCTTTAGGGTACCAAACATAAAATGCTTGGTAAAGCTTGTCCTACTGGTAGGAATGGGATAATGGAACTGACTGTTTTTGTGCCTCTGGCCCTATACAGGTTTGGCAAGGTGTTTTTTAAAAATTAAATTTATTTTTATCTAATACACAAAATTTAAGAAACTACACATACTAAGCAGTTAAATGCACTGTCTATATGCATACATTGTAAAATATCTAAGGCAGCTAGAACATGCCTAGCTCATTTATCATTTCTATGCTGAAAACTTTTAATTATTTCTAGCTTTTTAAAATATACATATACCATTGTTATTTATAGCCACCCTACTGTGTAACAGCACTCATCAAATTTACACTTTCATCTAACAAAACCTAGTAGTTGGAACTAGTAGTTATTGGGGTGCCTCCCAACATCTCACCTCCCCAAATTTTGGTAATCAACATTCTATTCTCAATTTCTCTGACATTAACTTCTTTAGATTTCATATGCGAATGAGATTGTTCAGTACTTGCTTTTTGGTCTCTGTGGTATTTCACTTAATGTTCTCCAGTTCCATCAACATTGTAAATGACAGAATTTCATTTTTTTATGATATTCCATGATTTGTATGTAGCATATCTTCTTTATCCATTTATCAGATGACGAATATTATATTTCCATTTTTTGCCTATTGTGAACAGTTCTGCAATGGCCGAGGGAGTGTAGATGTCCATTTGACACACTGACTTAATTGCCTATGTGTGTGTGTGTGTGTGCCTGTGTGTGTGTATTATTGGATCATTTGGTATTTCTATTTTTAATATTTGAATAAACCTCGTTACTCTTTTCCATAATGGTTATACTAGTTGTAGTAGATGCTTTTGTCCATGAACACTTTTTCATGCTGAAAAACATATCCTATGTTCTTCACATTAAAGGAGACTGAGTCTCTTATTGTGAATAGACTTCAGAGATACAGAAAATAGAACATACCTGTATTAAACATAGCAATTTTATTAATATTGAAAGTGACCTTTACATTACATTATATTACTTGAAGGCAATAAATTTCTTGAGCTAGAAAAAGAAACCCAATGGTAACTAGAATCCAGTCCCCACTTTGAATAAAACTTAACTGAATGTCATTTTTTTGTCATATAAACATGAACTTTTGATTTCACTTTTAGTGAAAACATTAAAGTAAATGTCTAAAGAATGTTCAACTCTTTATAGTACTGAAATCATCTAATGTTAAATATGATTTTAAAGAAGGTCATAAACTAGATCTTAAAATGGTTCAGTGTAGTTTACATTATAATACATTTTACATGCTTTTCTTTTATTAACCATACCTTTTTGGAATTTCTTTGGTTTTTGATTTTGTCTTTTTTTTGTATAGAAAATCAAATTCATGAACTCATGCTTGCCAGGCAAGTGCTTATGCTGCTGAGCTAAATCCCCAGCACTTTTCTATTTATTTAATTTTCACCTTTTAGCTTTAATACAAGTGTATCTTTTTCTGTGTCTGTTCTATGGAAGAAACAAAAGACTAAATAAAAATAATGCTTTCTTTTTTTTTATTTAAGAGGAAAAAGAGAAAAACACAAAACAAAACAAAGCAGTGTAAGGTTACACATAATACAGAACTACAAAAAAAACATAACAGTAAGAAATCACCTGTTAATAGATTACATATTATCATCTTGGAAATAGTTGCTCAAATCACAGTATCAAAGAATACAAAGTAGACATTCAAACAGAGAGACTGCAAACAGCTGTGTTCAATGATCCAAAAACATTAATATAGTCAGCTATTTAATACCCCTAAACACACTTGCTGTTATATCTGTTAGAGCTCTTTTTTTTTCCTCCCTCTCTTTTTTACAACAAAATTTACACATTTTGGATTTTATTACTCCTTAGTTCTTATTACTTTTTTGGGGGGGGAGAGAATAAAGTCAAATATGGCAAAACAAAGCTGTAAGTCAAAACCAAGGATAGACATAGCACATGATGTAGAACAGAGTACAAGGTTATTAACAATGGTTAATTTTAACAATTTATTTTCCTGATTTTCAGAAACTTTTGAAAATTTTTTTATTAGATTCTTTCCAGTTTCTTCAAGGATGATGTTTAAAATAGACCCAGAATTTTAATGTGAGCTTGAGCCTAGTAATTAAACATTTTAAATAACTAGAAACAACAATTCTAATTTTCTTGTGCAAATTTATAATGTTTGGTATACCTAAAGAAGAATAAAGAGTTTTCAATATATCACAGGTCAAGTATAGTTGTATATACAACAACGAATATCTTCCTACCTGTTTTTATTTTGTTTTATTTTCCAACTGATTCTGGAATGAATTTGTTTCATTATCTGATTATAAAATAATAACATTAGATCCACATATGCATGTAGATGAGGATGCTCAAAAACATGACACAACATTCAAAAGTTGCTTCAGCCCAAAATCTGTCTTTCAGCTGTTTAACTGTCTTGGAGAAAGATTTTTTTTGTCACCAAAGATTTTTCTTTATTGAAATTCAGATATTTTCTGCATTTTTTCAGTGCACACAAATCTTTGACACTTAGTTTAAATGGTTTTTATCAAATAACTTTCTCTGAAAAACTTGAGAAGAATAAATATTCTATGTAACAGGTAATTAGGGAAAGAAAAATACAAATCTTTGTCTCATTTCATAGTTTGCCTAGAGAAAGTTCTAGAATATTCTTAAATCTAGAAATAGACACACTTACTAATCACTTCTGAGCAAGAAATTTATAAATGTTCTCTTACTTTTTACTTGTAATTTAGGATATTTCCATCCAGTGTCAGATTTGAACATCAGTGCAGAGTAGGAGATACTGCACAAACCATTATTGTAGTATATTCTTAAAAAGTCTATATAGGAGACAATTTGAGCAACTCTCTTTGAATGTAGAACAATTGCTGCAACATTAGTTAAATGGAGTCTTATTTCCGCATACTGATATGTACAAAGCTGGTATTTCCTTCTCTCTTAATTGACTCTGAGCAATGCAAATAAGGCCAACTAAGGTACTGATATGTAATCTTTAAAGACAGTCTGACAGTCTCCTGCTTTTTCAAATAATGCTCTCTAAAAGATCTAAGAACACTGGGATGCCAGAGCCATTCAGATCCAAGAATGTCAGCTGGATATGAGCCTCAAAATGAGATTTTGTGAGTCGCCAGGGTACAAAACTTTACATTTCAAGAACTAAAGCAAGAATCTCCTAAATTCATTCATATGCTATCCCCATATCCAATCAGGTTATGCAGATTGGTCTTTCTGCTTATCTCCTTGCATACTGCGAAGATGCTTTTCTTCCTACTTGACTAGCCAGCTCAAATTACTCATGTAGTTGCTGCCATCCTTGCTGTCACTCATTCTCAAGCTATGCTTTTCTAGACAAGATAATGAATTCTGGGAGAAGTCTTAGATCAAGACCTTTGTCCATGTATACTCATTTGGATTGGGCTTAAGATTCCTTGGCTGCGCTTAACTTTGAATATGGCTTGGTGTCTTCACTCTCTCCATCGGTTGCATTGAGGACAGTAGATTGGAATTAACTTGTCAAGATTCCAATTACACTTCAATAGGATTATAAATATAATTTGTTGGATTGTCAGAGGGACTGGAACAGGGATTACAATAGTTGGACTATAATATTCATTATTTGGGTTATAATAGTCTAGAAGCTGATTGATTGATTTCTTTTATTATCTTTATTACAAAATAGGTCACAATGGGCTTTTCTGTCTTCCTCAGTGTCATTGACCTTGGTCTCTTCTTGTAGTGGTTAGTATTGTGTAGTCATTGTCCTACCCATTCTGAAGTGGATGCTTTGGTAAACTGTAAGGTAAATACTGTATTAGCTTGCTCAGTTTTTACTGATGTCTTGATTTCTGTGATCTAGCACAGTAGCAATGAATAATAATAAAAATACAAGCTTCTTTTTACCTATTTTATATGAATTAAATGCCTAAACATATGAAAACCTAATTATATACATACTTATAGTAACTAGTCACCTTTGAGTAACATAGCAATTCATAGTTTACAAACTATTTTCTCCTCAATTTGATAAATTTTTGAACTTCAGCTATGCAGAAAACATTGTGGTGTATATGCAAAGATAAACAAGAAATATGCCCTCATTTTTTCCATTTAATTTATATCTCTCTTGTTCCAATTAAATTCTTTTTCTAGGTCACTGAATTCTCTTGACCTGATGAAAACAGAAAACGATTCTAAGGTGATGGAATTTGTTCTTTTGGGTTTATCATCCTACAAGGAACTACAGCTATTCCTTATTTTCATGTTTTCCTTGTTTTATGTTGTTACCATCCTGGGAAACCTCTTGATAATGGTGACGGTGGGAGCTGATGTTCATCTGCTACAATCTCCTATGTACTATTTCTTGGGCCATCTCTCCTTCATTGATCTATGCCTGAGCTGTGTTACTGTGCCCAAGGCATTGGAAGTTTACCTACAGCAGGACAAGACCATCTCCTTTTCAGGATGCTTGGCCCAGATATACTTTCTGCACTTTCTGGGAGCTAGTGAGATGTTTCTGCTGACAGTAATGGCGTATGATAGGTATGTTGCCATCTGTGATCCTTTGCACTACCTAACTATCATGAACCGCAGGCTATGTCTTCAATTGGTATTGGCCTGTTGGTGTGGAGGCTTTATCCACTCTGTCTCACAGGTCATATTGGTCATCCAGCTGCCATTCTGTGGTCCCAATGAACTAGATAACTTCTACTGTGATGTCCCACAGGTCATCAAGCTGGCCTGCACAGACATCTTCCTGGTAGAGGTCCTAATGGTCTCTAACAGTGGTCTGCTGTCTCTTACCTGCTTCTTGGTCTTGCTATTTTCCTATGCAGTCATCCTGATCACCCTGAGAAATCACCTTTATCAGGGCCAGACCAAGGCATTCTCTACTTGTGCTTCCCATGTAACAGTGGTTAGCCTAATCTTTATTCCTTGTGTATTTATTTACCTAAGACCTTTCTGCAGCTTCTCTATGGATAAAGTATTCTCTGTGTTTTACACAGTGATCACACCTATGTTAAACCCCTTCATTTACACACTCAGAAATACTGATATGAAGACAGCTATGATGAAGCTGAGAAAAATATCATGTTTCTTTCTGTTGCTTTCTTAAAGTGTGAACAGGAAAAAGTAATTTAGAAAACATATCCTTTCTTGGGACACTCTTACCTTATCCTATAATATGTGTGAAAATCAGCTGGTGGCTTTTTCCCAAAGGAGAAAACAACATAAAATCACAATGCTTAACTCTTGATAGCAATTAGAATGCACACATGTGTTTCTTTGGTACTAAATATTAGCAGGGGACCAGGAGCATTTACGAGCTGACAAATGGTAGGAATTAATGAACTTCTATGATCACAGGGCACCTTAAAATTTCAACTCCTTTGGTCTTTTGTCTACAAGAAATCTTGCCTTAGTCAATATATTTCACTATTTAACTCTATTCAAATGAAAAAAGATATATCTCCTTTTCTGCCCTGCTTCTTTAGGGTTTAGCAATTCCTAGTGTCAGGAAGATCCTTTGGATATTTCATCAAGTTTCTACAAAAGCAGCATAAGCTGCGTCTGTAGTGTTTTTCATGAACCCTGAATTTAGCACCAAATTCTCTGTACATTAGTGATCATTCAGAAACTTTGTTCCTCAGTGTGCCAAATTTCACAGTCAAACAACTTGGTGGAATGGACATACTCTCTTAGCAAAGTTTATGTGGGAGAGAAAGGGAAGTCCTACGGTGAGAGAGAGGGAAGTCCTAGGGTCATGGAGGCTACCAGTATTGCTGATGACCAGCTTGATGCACTGCAAAGCAGGCAGTGATTGATATTAATAAATTGATATAAAATAAATTGAACTGAGAGTCTGTCCTAGGCCTCAGTGACATGTGGCCAGACCTGCTGCTGGAATGGGAATGAAACTAATCCCCAGCACAAAGGCCAGGACCAAAACTGGCAAATGATCTGTGAAGTCCTGTCACTTCAAAGCAAGAGATACACTACAGTTGAGGACGTTACTTGCCTCAATTCCTTCTAGCTCAGTAGTTTCAAAAGATAATCAGGTTACTAATTAATCATCATATGCCACTGTGTGCTTTTCCAAAACTGCATTGTTCTTGCAGCTTTCAACCTTACCAGTGTCTGCAGTTCGACCCCATCACTTCCTGTAGCCCCTAGCACATCTTCTCAACCAAACTGTGTATCTACAAAAGACCAGGGGCACTGTGCCTCTTGTTCTTAATCCTTCTTGAGTTTTAACAATCCTGGTTCCCCTTATAACTAAAATATATATCAAGTCTGTGTTTTATTTTGTCATCATATGCTGAGCAGGAGATTGGTGGTCCCAGACCAGGACTGTGAAAAGTGTGCTTTTGTAGATGCTTCTCTGGAAGAGAAACTTCATTTCATATAAACTTTTCTTTTGAGTAAAGGTTATAAATGACCATATGACCATAATGTTTAAGAACTCAAAAAAAAAAAAAAAAAAAAAAAGGAAAGGAAAAAGATAGGTGATGTGGTGCAAAGTACTCTGTCTAGCTTTGAGGTGCTCAAAGTTATTACTGAGTGACAAGTGTGCTTTGAAGTAGACAGCATTTTCTAACTTCATGTTTATTAATGAACTCAGTTATTAAGTTAGTTGCCCAAGATCCCTTACAAAAACAGTAATCAGTCATGAAAGCAAAAAATTTTAGGTAGTTAAGCTAATTTTTTTAATCTTAAAAGATGTTTATTCAAATGTCATTGATTAAATATTTCATTTCTACTATATCTCTATAGAAGGCCCAGAACTAGGAAATCCCTAAAAAGTTTTATTTAATATTCAAATTTAAAGCTATATCTTTCTGACACTTATCCTTGAAAATTTTAATGACTATACAAAGATACTGAATTTATTGAATTACAAGGTCATTACAGTTTTAGTGATTTTTCTGTATTTACTGACTTTATTTCCTAATCAGTTGTAATGGAGAAGATTTTCTGTTTATTTATTGAAAATATACTTCATGAAGAAATCATAGAAATTTCAACATTTACTAGCATTTATTCAATATCTTGTAATCTGTCCGGTAAGAATTTTAAAAAATATTGGAATAAAGGATGGATTTTCAATTTTGTGTTGGGTCTTTATTTTTAGGAAATTGTATATATGTCTGGATTTATTGCTATATAAGGCTTCTTACAGAACAGGAACAATGCTGCCACTTAGAAGGTTTAGTGACGCAGGCAAAGGAAGAGTGTAGCAACATACAGAATACTCCTTTTCCTTTTCCTTCATTCTACTCTTTTATTTCTAAAGAGGACTTTTGCCTACGGTGAACATCCTGAAAAATGGGATAATGTTCTGAAGATATCATTCTGAAGAGCAGGAAGCTGTCAGCCAGACAGTAGTTTGAGGGTTGACAGAAAACTACAGATAGTCTTGTGGGTCAGCCAGCATATTACAGGAGCATGAAGCTTTCGGCTTTCTGGAATAAGGTGGATGTAACACCTTTTTTTCTGATATTAATCATTCAATTCAAGGTTTGTGATTATTGTAAATCATTTTAAATACCTTGGTGATATCTGCTATTGGCAGCACTATATTTAAAAAGCAGAAACTCTGGATATTGCCTTTTGCAATTTCAATGTTCTAATAATTAATTGCTTACCTATATTAAAATTATTTTATTAATAAATAAATAAAATTTCAGACTTCAAATTTATATGATTGATACTACATGTCAATTATATACATGCAGTAGAGGGCCAATGCAGTAGTATTCAGATAACATGGGCCCTTTTCCAGAGCCTGCTTGATTCTCTTTGAGTCTGTTCTTTTGAGAATACACCAGGCCACTTGTGTTAAAACCCTTGAAAAGATCTTTAAGGGACACTGTGAAAAATTATGTGGCCAACTGCAGAAATCTGCACTGTAGGATGCACAGTCATACAGGACTCTTGTGAAGTTTGCAACCAGGAAGAGTGATAGGCTAGAGTTTGAGGGGTATCTTAGTTACTATCTTATCTCTAAGATACAATGTTCAACACTCATGATATAAAGGAAGAAAAGTTTATTTTGGCTCACAATTTGTAGAGGTTTCAGTCCATAGTTGTTTGGCAGCATGGCAGGGCAGCATGCTGGAGAGGCATGGCATAGGAGGAAGAACTCAAGGCATAGAAATGGGAGCAGAGGAATCAAGGGAGAAAGGAAGTCTATGTATCTATCCAGATAATTTCTGCAGTGACGACCTCTGCAGACCAGGCTTTACCTTCCAATATTTAACCAGGCTTTATCTTCCACCATCAAAGTTAGCTATTAACTCACCAGTGGTTTAGTATCACATCCCAATGATCCAATAAAACCTGAAAAGCCTCATCTATGCACACATAAGGATTTAAGGGGGTCATCTAGATATAAACTATGACAAAGGGCAAAGGTCTGTTCTGTCTGTACTGCCACATCCTGGTGTAGAAATCCAAGGGTACTGAGTATTTTAAAGTGTAATTACTGAAGCAATTATGATGATAAAAGAAGATATTTAAATTCTCTTAGCTCGACTTATGACATGGCATCCCTTTTTTCTCTTTCTCCATGTTCCATGGATATTTGGGGTATGTCTCCTTCTTTTTCCAGCTCTTGTGACCCTCCCCCTCTAGGATACTAAAGCGAAATGAGACAAACAAGTATCTTATCTAGGAGATAATGAGAGAATTATTGAACTTATATTTTCAAAATGCATAATGGAAACTAAAGCTATGCACATTTATAACCTATCTACAAAGTAAAATGTTATGAATAGAATAACTGAAATTAGGAAAACTAGTTCTCACTCTGTTTGTATTTTCTCTCTAAATATGCTAAAAACTAGAAGATATGACTAGAGAGAAGTCAATATGCTGTCACAAGATCTACTCCTAGTTTAGAGAAAACATTTCTTAGAAGGTGTTCCTCTAATAAATAACTCCCAGTTGTATTTGTATCTTTTAATACTTATGAATCTATTAATAACTAATTAACTTTAATATCCTTTAATTAAATCTAAAATTAATTGCTCCATATATAGAAATATGGTAAACATGTTTTTCTTGGGGTCTTCCACAAATCATCAATATGTCATTCAAATGTCTAATTGTAAAATCTCTCAGTATACAACAGAAGAATTTGACTAACACTCTAAGACAGTATATGAGCCCAGAGAGTTATGAAGTTAGACTGTGTACTCTAATGATCACATCAAGGCCCAATTTGGCAGCTGTCTTGGGAGGATATTGATGTGGGAAACTATACCGCTGACCTCTTTAATATTAGATACACAAAGTTCATGGTCACACATCAAGGAATGAAGCCTCAAACCAAAGGAGGAAGTTAAAAGAATTTTATTAGAAGTAAGAAGACTAATAATAGGTCCTGGATTTTTAGGAGGGGTCCTGAGTGGGCAACCACTGAGGGTTTTTGTCAGAGGTTATTTATACACCGAAACCTCAAAATGGGTACAATGTGAGTCAAACTACAATCAACAGGATTTCAAGTGTAGTTGCTTGGCTAATACTAATCCCATAAGGAAATAAATCATGTAGCAAGGTTATAGGAAAAGAACAAAGGGATTTCTAGAAACAGAGTGCATTATGGGTTCAAATGTTCTGTTCACCCACCTCTATGTCCAATGGCTGTCTGGGGTCACAGGACCAGGTGGTGCTAATTACCGTGTAACTTCAAGTTGTTCTGTATCATTAGGGATGTGAGCAGGTCTGGCCAGTGCTTCTCCAACCAGAGGCCTGAGTCTTTTCAGATTTGTCCCCCAGTCACAATTCTAGCTTCTTTTTTTAAACGCTGACTTCCTTAAGGGCTCATCTCAGATTGCATATTATTTTCTATTTAACTTAGCTGTCTATAAAAATGTGACCTAAATGCAATCTCTTTGTACAATTTTGACAATAACAGTATCTATCTCATAGGCTTCTTTGAAAAACAAAACAAGTAATATATGTAAAGTTCTAATAAAACTTTCTATATATGATCAGAACTCAAAAAATTTGACTGGTTGTATTATTATCATTACTAATTGTTCTAGTGAATTGAATAAGAGCAAGGCTAAAAGAACATGGAACAATTGTTTGATACCAGAGAAGCATAGAGTA